TTATTTTAAATTCTGCCTAAATGTTGGAGAACTTTAAGATAATTCTTTAACTTAAAGATTTTCTCAATATTCCTAAATAAAAATTTTAGCAAAAATATTTTTTTTAAATGAAAGGAATTGGTGTTCAATTTCAAATTAAAATCATTTTTATCCAACATCGAAAATAGTGCGTAATTAAATTATACCAATTTATGGGCGTTGTAGGGTTGCTAATCATTCCGCACACGTAACCGACTCCTGGACTCAACCTGATTTTTCGTAGACCGAAATTTATCTTTTTGATAAACTTTAAACCCTTTTTTATAGTTTTATTAAAAGGATAAACTTTTGGGTGACCAATGACACCCTAACAAAATTGGTGACGACTCTCCCCTTTTATTTTTCTCGATTTTTAAAACTTGTTTTACGTCTGATGGCCCCAAAACCGTTACGACAATAAGTAATTACAATAAAGTTTAATAATTTTTTTTATGATATTAGAGCAATTTTATGGTTCATTCTAAAGGTGAATCATCTTGGAGTAACCATTATTTGCTTATTCTCATTGTTGGTTTATTCTTATTTTTAACTTTATTTTTGCTTCCGCGCTTCAAATTTTTTTAGGTTTCTCTTTCTATTTTCAAGATTCATCTTTTATATTAGTACTCATAATTTTTCAAATCTCTATTTCATTTTTTTTTCAAGAACTTAATAGCAAATATTCAACGAGAAAATGTACAAACAATTTCAATTATCATCGATGAAAATAACTACAATAGGTGGACTATGACTATTCATAATTATCTAAAAAGAATGAAATTATAGCTCGTATACTTAATAGTTACTTATCCAGATATTGCCGATGTTGTTCATCTAGTTAGTCAATTTCTATCTACTCATCGATCTACTTATTTTGCTGCAGTATTTTAAATCCTATGATATGTTAAGGATATTATGTTCTATGGTTTGAATTTTTTCCCTAATTCCTCTTTGGACTTGCATTATTATTGTGATGTTGATTGCTCAAGAGATCCTACTAATTGTTGTTATACCACAAGCTACTATTTCTTTCTTAGTTCTTTTTCTAGTTTTCGGCAAAATAAAAAACAAACTATGGTATCTTGCTCTTGCACTGAAGTTGAGTATCGAGCTCTTACAGATGCCACATTAGAACTTCTATGATTATGATGGCTACTTTAAGATATAGATGTTTCTTATCACTCTAATACTCTTATATTTTGTGATAATCAAAGTCAAATAGCTCACAATTATGTTTTTCATGAGCGTACTAAATATATTGAAATTGATTGTCACTTCATTCATCACTACTACTTGCTCAAACTCTTCAAATTATTTGTGTTACCAATTCTAATAAAAAAACAGATATCTTCACTAAATCACATCCATTTGATCAATTTCTTGTCCTAAATTTTAAATTGAAGTTGACCTCTACATTATCATCTTGAGTTTGCGAAAAGTGTCAATGATATTATAATAATATTCAGATAATAATCTAGATTGATGATATTATTATAATAATAATTTAGTAATATTCTATATTAATTTAATATTGATTTAGAGAATATTAATATTGATTTAATTGATTATAAGAATTTATTTAATTATTATTTTTTTACTTTATAATGTTTTACCTCTATATAAATAAATTTATACTTCATTATAATACACAAAACATTACAATAAAATTTCATCTTTTTTTTTTTCGTAAAGTTGATCCGCCTTCTTTTCATTTTTATGGATCTTCTTTTTGACAAAGAAGATTTTCTTTACCAAAATAATTATCGGCTTACAGCTGCCGATGAAATGGTATAAATATTATATTAAAAGAAATATAAAAATGATATTTTATAATTTTAATCAAAATTATATTTTAAATTTAGATCATGGTTAAGCTCACAAGACCATTGGATAAGAAATATTGCGGGTAGGACGAATCCCCAACTATAAAAGAAAGTCCACAAAAGTGGCGAGCAAAAGACGCATTCTCATATGGGCCCATTTGAAAAGAAGGATAGAAAAATGAAATTTAGAATTATGAAACAATAAATGTTGTGAATATGAAATATAATCACTAATTAAACAATCATACTCTTTTTGACTATATTTTTATTTTTCTTTTTTAATGTCTCAAATATATATTTTTAAAACCTAAAATCTTTTATATATTTTAAAGCTATCTTCATAATTTTTTAATTTTTGATATTAAAAATTATGAAATTTTAATATTAAATACATCAAAATTAAAGTCTTTTTTCTTAACTTCATAAAAGTCAAAAAGACCCAAACAATTTAAAATGGGGTAAATTTTTTTTTATATTTAATTATTATAATTTAGAATCTAATATTACTTATCATATATTATATAAAAAGTTATAATGACAAATTAGCGCAATGGAGATTAAAAAACAGTTTTTTTATTCGAAGTAATCTGAAATTAAAATTTTAAGACTCTGACAACATTACACGGACTGTCGGCAAGACAATTATTTTACTGGCAACCCAAAACAATTCCAGCTAGCACAAACTGCCGCCGACTGCAGAAGTAAATAAGTAGCAATATAAAGTGGTTCTTACAGACAGATATCCAATACCCAACATGAATGAAACATAAACTAATAAAACTAAAAGACACCCATCATGCATAATCATGTTCTGGAGATTCGCTTGATAGTTTCAATGTTAAACCTGACTTATCCAAAACCTGACTTATCCAACTTATGTTGAATAAGCTTTTTCAATCGTTCTACCATTGCAGGTGTGAGATAATTGATCCAATCTCCCGGTTTTGCTTTCCTGAACAAGGTGTTGTGTTGAATCCCTGAAATGTGTGTGCCATTCTTGTTCACGTCCAATTCTTTCAAGCTCCCAAAGCTACAAATTTTTGCTATTTCTTCAATACTACATGTTTCTTTTCCTCCTCTGAAAGGGAAACCCCAAGAACATGGCCAACTTTTTTAGATGAGAAATGATGTTATCGTGAACATCTTCGTATTGTAAAAATAGTATTTTGTTTCTTGGCTTGCCTTCCAATACCCTAATACATGATCAAAAAATGGTCCAAACCCATCGATTTATTGGCATAACATGTCAAAAGCTTCATCTAGTGATGATGGCTCTACGTTTTCGGGTCGAAACTGGTCAGTGAAAAACCAAAGCGAGACGAATGTATCCATCGGATTTCTACATATGTAGACAATTTTAGAGTTAGAATCTTTAATGGAAGGTGGCAAAGAAGCATTGGGAATGTGGGTGGAGAGAAGTCTTGGTTGATAAACACAACTATTTTCAAGATCAGGACAAGGGTTGTTCAAGTAAAGATCATATTCAAAGGAACGAACAAGTTGGTGAGGGCCTAAACTGAGCAAGGGGCTTTGCTCCATTGCAAATTGGTTGCGATTCACAATTGAGAAACTCAAAGCCTTGAGCCAAGTAGTGCCGCATTTTGGCAAACTTGTGACAAAAATTTCAGTATCAAGTGCTTGGAAATGTCTCTGTAAAGAAATCACAGCTTTAAATACAGGAGATGGGCACCAAAATCCTTGATAGAAATAAAGATTACGTCTGTATCAGCTTTTTTCTTCAGGAAGGGTTTGCATCAATTCTTGGAATTCATCCTCCCAATTCACCTCATGATCTTCATCTTGGGGTGTGGGAACAATATTAATGTCATTGGCGATTTCTGTTGCATCCATAATGAAACCTGCAGTATTAATTTTGAAAGAATAAGGGATAGAAAATTAGAAATGGACTCTAAACTAGTTCTTTAAGAAACTTATAGAAGTTGGTTTCCTAGTATTATTCTATTTCAATTTGATTTTTGTTCCCTCATCTTTGTTTTTTTAGTTTGTCATATTTCAATGTTGTGTCCTATGGAATAAAGACTTGTAGGGTGTCCGAGAGGCATTAAATGTATATGTAAGAATTTTTTTTTCTCTTACCAAAGAAAAAAAATCATATATAACATATAAGACCCATCTTCGAGTGGGTGAAATGTCAACACAATTGCTTGACACATAGTTATCATACAAACATTCAATTATGTGATATTCTATTATCAGAAAAAAATTTTAAAGATCAATTTTATGATATTTTATGTAATATGAAACTTGGAAGTTGGAGAATGCTAGTGATCCATTTGTAGTGGCAGTAAGTGCAGCAGTCAAGGCGATGGATTTTGCTTACGAGATGGGCTTCCAAGCTATGATATTTGAAGGAGATGCATTTTGTATTGTGAAGAAGCTACAATCATGGCAACCAGACCTATCACCTATTGGCGATCTTATAGATGAAGCAAGAGATAAGAGCTTTCACACTCCTTCATTCATGCACACAAACAGAACAGGCAACGTTGCATAACATCAGTTAGCTAGGCATGGGCTAGGGATTGATGAAGACATGTATTGGGCAGAGGATTTTCCTTCATTTCTCCATGGTTTTGTGTCTGAAAACTCAAATGGTTCCTTTAATGAATGATTAAGAATTTTTATCTTTAAAAAAAAATTGATTAGGGAAAATAAGAGCTCTAATTGTTCATGTGAATGTGAATGAAATAAATTTGACTTTTTTATCAATAATATTTAATACACAGATTATAATTTATTTTTTAGAATCCAATAAAAAATTGTATTTGTATGCAAAAATTAAAAATATTTTTGTATAAATTAAAATTTCAATTATAATTTTTCATGAAAAAATATATAATTTTATTTTTTGGCCAGATATGATTTTATTATTAAATAACTAGTTTTTATTATATTTTAATTTTAAAACATATTATAATTTTAAATATTTTAATAACAAATTAAAATTACATAAACTTAAATAAATGAAGGAATTAATGAATTGAATATCAGGTATTAATCGAATCTAATCTGATATGATTAAACTCACAATCACCTCTTTATACAAACTAATAAAACTATATATAAAACAACTGCAAAATTTGCTACACAAAGCAATTTATTTTGCTGGTAACGTATATAAGACAATTCTAATACAAACTACAACAGAGACAACAAAAACGTAAATACGTGAAAATAAAAGAGTTTTTTTTTGTTTTTTTACTCACAAAGAGAGTAAATGGCTTGCAGATATCAAGCATCGAACATAGATCAATTCGGAAAAGATATACAAAGTAAAACCCAGAAATTTCTGGCCGCTTAATAAAAAAGATCAACATTAACTAAGCTGAAAGACGCCCATCATGCAAAAGCATCCTTTGGAGATTGGGAAGATAATTTAAATGTTAAACCTGACTTGTCGAAATTCTCTTGGATAAGCTTCTCCAAACGATCTACCATTGCAGGTGTGAGATAATTGCTCCAATCTCCCACTTCTGCTTTCCTGAACAAGGTGTTGTGTGGAAACCCGAAAGTGTTTACATCATTCTTGTTCACAGCCAATTCTTTCAAGTTCGCAAAGCTACAAGTTTTTGCAATTTCTTCAACCACTCCATGTTTCTCTTCCTCCTCTGTGAAAGGAAACCCCAAGAACATGGCCAACTTTTTTAGCTGGGAAATGATGTCTTCTTTCAGATTTTCATACTTTAAAAACAATATTTTGTTGGGATTCTCTTGGCTTGCCTTCCAATACCCTGATACATGATCAAAAAATGGTCCCCAACCATATGTTCCACGGCAGAACAACTCGAAGGCTTCATCTAGTGAAAAAGGCTCTGAATTTTCAGCTCGAAGCTTTTCAGTGAAAAACCAGAGAGAGATGAACATATCCATCGGATTCCTACATATGTAGACGATCTTAGAGTTGGAATCTTTGATGGAGGATGGCAAAGAAGGATAAGGCACGTGGGTGGAGAAAAGTCTTGGTGGATAAAGAGAGCTATTTTCCAGATCCGGAGAAGGGTTCTTCAAGTAAAGATCATACTCAAAGAATCGAATAAGTTGGTGAGGGCCTGACCTGAACAAGGGATTTTCTTCCCTGGCGAATTGATTGCGGTTCACAACTGAGAAAGTCAAGGCCTTCAGCCAAGTAGTGCCACATTTCGGAAAACTTATGACAATAATATCAGTATCAAGTGCTTGGAAATGTTTCTGGAAAGAAATCACAGCTTTAAATACAGGAGATGGGCACCAAAATCCTTGATAAAAACAAATATCACGTCCGTACCAGCTTTTTTCTTTAGGAAGGGTTTGCATCAATTCTTGGAATTCATCCTCCCAGTTCACCTCATGATCTTCATCTTGGGGTGTGGGAACAATATTAATGTCTTTGGCGATTTCTTTTGCATCCATAATGAAATCTGCAGTATTAATTTTGAGAGAACAAGGGATAGAAAATTAGAAATGGACACTCTAAACTATTTTCTTTAAGAAATTTACAGAAGTTGGTTTCCTAGTATTATTCTATTTCAATTTGATTTTTGTTCCCTCATCTTTGTTTTTTAATTTGTCTTATTTCAATGTTGTAGCCTATGGAATAAAGACATGTAGGGTGTCCCAGAAGCATCAAATGTATATGTAAGAATTTTTTTTTTTTCTCTTACCAAAAAAAAATCATATATAACATATAAGACCCATCTCCGAGTGGGTGAAATGTCAACATAATTGCTTCATCTAATGTACTGTAAAAATGGTCCAAATGTGATTTAATTGCCTGCTCGGCCCTGTTTCCCTCTTTGTTGACATGCATGCTGTCCTACGACGTGAACCTCTCTAGTCTACTTTCTACCTTCTCCATAAGGGTGTCAACATAGGACAGGTTCTTGTTACCCTTCGTCTTTACTTGGAAAATAATCTCCCTTGCGTCACCCTCCATTTCAATCTGATTACCCCATTTCTGCTGCCAGCTTTACTGCTTCCACCATAGCCAGTGCTTTAATCATCCCATGGTCACAGATGCCTGCACACTGTTTGCCCATTGCTCTAAGGACGCCACCTTCTGACCCACGGGCCACAACTCCTATTCCTCCAACTCCTTACTGTACGTCCAGGGGCCCATCCAAATTAAACGTTTATACATATGAAAAAAAAATTAAACGTGCCAAAACTAAACTCAGAACCAAAAAGAGAAGAAAGCATTGAAAGTTTAATTAAAAAAAGGGGAAAACCTTTTTAGTATAATAACAATTTTTAGATTTAAATAATTAAAATTTTTAATAACATAATTACGTGATAATTTGAATAAAAAAAAAACTTGTTTTAACGTTGAGTAACGATTTTCTACAACTTTTTTTCAAAATTTTGAATGTTTAGAAACTTTATTAGGGAAAAAAAAAAGATCTCTAATTGTTCATGTAAGTGTGAATGAAATAGGTTTGATTCATTTATCAATTATATTTAATACACATATTATAATTTATTTTTTAGAAGCCAATAAAAAATTGTATTCGTATGCAAAAATTAAAAATATTTTTGTATAAATTAAATTTTAATTATAATTTTTCATGGAAAAATATATGATTTTATTTTTTGGTTAGATATGATTTTATTAGTAAATAATTAGTTTTTATTATATTTTAATTTTAAAATATATTATAATTTTAAAACAATTTTATATTTTAATAACAAATTAAAATTAAATAAATTTAAATAAATAAATGAATTGATGAATTGAGCATCAAAAATCTAATTCGATTTGATTAGACTCACAAATACCTCTCTATACAAATTAATAAAACTATATATAAAACAACTGTAAAATTTGCTACACAAAGCAATTTATTTTGCTGATACCATTTATAAATCAATTCTAATACAAACTACAAAAGAGACAACAAAAACGTAAATAAGTGGAGATAAAAGAGTTTTCTTTCTTTTTTTACTCACAAAGAGAGTCAATGGTGACTCTTTACTTGCATATATCAAATATCGAACATTAATCAATTGAAAAGATATACTAAGCAAAACCCAGAAATTTCTTGCTGCTTAAAAGAAAGATCAACATTAACTAAGCTGAAAGACACCCATCATGCACAAACATCCTTTGGAGATTGGGAAGATAGTTTAAATGTTAAACCTGACTTGTCGAAATTCTCTGGAATAAGCTTCTCCAAACGTTCTACCGTTGCAAGTGTGAGATAATTGTTCTAATCTCTTACTTTTGCTTTTTTGAAAAAATTTGTATTTAAAGATGAATTCGATTTTAATGTTATATCTATTTAAATTTGATCGATTACATTTTTAATGATAATAATATCTTTATAAAAACATGACGAATGAACTGTTAGGAAAATGGGGTCCAGCCTCATGTAAGTGATTTTGGACTAAGTAAAGGCTATGGGCCTTGATCTTTTATTTTACACAGAGCCCTAGCTACTTAATAAAAAAGATGTGGGGTTGTTTTAAGTGTGTGTCGAAAACCAAGTAGAGAAAGAGGAAAAGCTAGAAAAAGTAGAGAGAAAAAAGAGAAGGGAGAGTTAGTTGAACGAAAGTCGATCCGTGGTCCGATTAAGTTGAAACCTTGCCAGGAGGTTTATGATTCAGAGTTTTACATTCTGAACGGTGAAGATCGGGTTTGAAGCTCTCTAAGAATAAATCCAGGGTGTATTTGTTGAGTCACTTATTTAGTGAGATTTCTCAAATTATTTTCTCTAGTTGTTGTTTAGCTCTAGTTTTAGCTACAGAAGAACTTTGTATACCTATTATTTGATAGTGAAAATTTTTCTGGTGGTCCGTGGTTTTTTCCCTCTACACTAGAGGGTTTTTCACGTAAATCTTGGTGTACTTTATTTTTCTTGCGTCTTTGATTATTGATTGTTGTCTATTGCTTCTGTATTATTGTGATTATTGCTTCAGGCGCAACAAGTGGTATTAGAGCGAGGGTTATTTTGAGACATCGATATAGAAGTAACTCAGGATAGAAATAAATTCTGTTTGAGATCATGGAGGGTGATACAGGTTCCATGATAAAATTGACAGCATCGAATTATTCAATTTGAAAGCCTATGATGGAGGATCATCTATATTGTAAAGATTTGTATGAGCCAGTATTGGGTGATTCGATTAAATCAGCAGATATAAAAGATGAAAGCTGAAAGAAGCTAGGTAGAAAGACACTGGCTACAATCAGAAAATGGGTTGATATCAGCATGTTCCATCATGTAGCGCAAGAATCAAATGCTCACATTGTTTGGGAAAAATTGGCAGCATTGTATGAGAGAAAAATAAGTACGAATAAAGTTATGCTTGTTAAAAAGCTTATAACTTTACAGTATAGGGATGGACGATCTGTTACAGAGCACTTGAGTGATTTTCAAGATATATTTAATCGGATGACTACTATAGAGCTTAAGATGGATGATGAAATGAAGGCGTTATTTTTTTTGGGTTCATTGTCAGATAGCTAGAATACTCTAGTTGTGACTGTTCTTAATTCAACTCCTGATTATAAGGTGACATTAGAGATGGTAAAGGACAGTATGCTTAATGAAGAAGCAAGGTGAAAAGATGTAGACCTTGGGAATCAAGTTCTGGTCATAGAGAACAGGGATAGAAACATCGACAGAGGTCAGAACTCAAAAGATCGTGGTAAGTCTAATCATAGATCCAAGTCTAGAAGTAAAGTGAAGTGTTTCTATTGTGGTAAGACAGGTCATATAAAACGAAATTATAAAATCTTGAAGCAAGAGTGAAAAGATGAGAAAGGCAAAAGTTCAGATGATGGCAATATTACAGTAGTGAATTCAGATAGTGATTCAGTTACTTTGATTTGTACACATGGTGATTGTAACATGTTAGTGATCTCGACATTGAGTGGATAGTTGACACAAGAGCGACATATCATTGTGTTCCTAAGAGAGAGTTGTTTACAACTTACAAAGCAAAAGACTTTGGTTGTACCAAAATGAGAAACAAGAGTGTGTTACAGATTGTTGGGATTGGTGATATTATTGTACAAACTAGTACAGGCTGCATGTTGACTTTGAGGGATGTTAGACACATTTCAGATATGAGAATGAACTTGCTTGTTATTAATGTCTTTGATAAGGATGGATATGAAAGTCGACAAAAGAATGGACAGTGGAAGCTTCTCAAAGAATCTATGGTAGTTGCAAGAAAAAAACTATGCTGCACAATGTATAAGATATGGATGCAATTGAACGGTAACCAGGTAAATACCGTTGAAAATGATGCTTCAGCAAACTTGTGGCACAGGAGGCTGGCACACATGAGTGAAAAAAAGTTACAGGTTTTGGCAAAACAGTCTTTCATTCTCTTGACCAAAGATATGTCTCTCGATTCATGTGATTATTATTTGTTTGGTAAACATCATAGAGTTTTTTTTTGTAAAAGTTCTCAGAGAAAAAAAAATAGATTGAAATTAATTTATTCTGACGTATGTGGTCCCATTGAGGTTAAGTCATTAGGTGGTAGCAGATATTTTGTTACTTTTATTGATGATGCTTCATGTAAGACTTGAGTGTATATGTTGAAATACAAAAGTCAGGTACTATAGTATTTTTAAAAATTTCATGTCATGGTTGAAAGGATGACAGGGTTACCCTTAAAGTGTATTCGAACTAATAATAGTAGAGAATACACATCTAAAGGCTTTGAAAAGTATTGCTCAAAGCATGGGATCAGGCATGAGATGACAGAACCTGAAACATCACAGCATAATGGTATAGTTGAAAGAATGAATCGTACCATTATGAAAAAAGTCAGATGTATGTTGAGGATGGCAAAATTACCAAAGCCATTCTGGGGTGAAGCAGTCAACACAGCTTGTTATTTACTTAATAGGTCACCATTAATTCCTTTGGGCTTTGACATTCCAGAAAGAGTGTGGACAGGAAAAGATACTTCATACTCTCACTTGAAAATTTTTAGGTGTAAAGCATTCATACATGTGCCGAAAGAGCAGAGATCAAAGCTTGACAGTAAAGCTACACAGTGTGTGTTTGTAGGATATGGTGATGAAGAATTTGACTACAGAGTATGGGATCAGTAAAGAGAAAGATAGTCAGAAGTAGGGATGTGGTCTTTCATGAAAAAGAAACCATAACAGACTGAGAAAAATGAGAAGACTACACAGGTTACTGTTGAGAGTGATGTTTCAACACCGATAGAGATTCCATATGAAAGAGTCACAGATGGTAGAAATGAGCAAGAAACAAAACTTGAAGATATGAATGAGCCAGCCACAGTTGGTGATGAGCTAGATGCTATTAGTTTTGAGCAGGAGGAGCAATCATCTTTACCTGAGAGTGTTGAGCAGGGGAAGCTACCTTCGACATCAAGTGATGTAGAGTCTCAGCCCAGGAGATCTGCTAGAGAGCACAGGCCATCTACCAGGTCTCCAAGTTTAGATTTTATTTTAGTTACCAGTGAAGGGGAGCCATAATGCTTTCAAGATGTA